TTTGGCCTAAGAGAAAGAGCTTTCAGAGACTCTCACACAATCCTTAGGAGAAGTAAAGCCTGGAGATAGAGAAAGAAAGCAAGGCTCCAAACACATCTGTGGAAGTTCCCGATGGCCATAGCCCTCCAAATGTGTTTTTGACGACTCTGGCCTGTGGAGGTACAGCTCCAAATTTCTCTCCATGACTCATAGCTAAATTTATCTGTTTAACTAATCAGTTGGCTCAACTATATGAGAGAATCCAGCCTGTTCTGAAGTTCAGCCCAGATTTCAAAGGCAGCCTAGAAGAAATTGTTCTTAATTTCCTGCCCACTCCAACTTGCAAACCATACTAAAGCCATGTAGGCAGCTGAACATTTTCAGATAACTCCTACATCTATCTACAACTGCCAAGTTCTTTCTCTTTCTATGATAGAGGTCACCCTTAGGCCTCGGTCTGCTGTTGTCTCTGGAGTAATAACTTCTCAAAGGGACTTCTTCTGTCTGAAGCATCCGAGTCCAACTTTTTTTTTTGAGACAAGGTCTCACTATACAATTCTGCTAACCTGAAACTCACTATATAGACCATGTTGGTCATAAAATCACAGAAATGTGCCTTCTTCTGCCCTCCTAAGTGCTAGGATTAAAGGTACACACTATCTTGCCCTTCCCCAGGTCTAAGCCCTATGCTTGTTAAGGGTTTCTATATGGTTCCTGGGAATCTCGAATGTCAAGCATTCTATTATTATAGTCTCTTGTTTCTTTGTGCTTTGACATAGGAGAGCAAGTTTGACATAGCTCTGGGGCCACTTTTTCAAGGAACAATGTAATGGATCCTATAAAATAATGCTATGTGGCAGTCTTTTTCCCAGGATCCTATGCTAGAAATCTATGGAAGTGGAAACTCCACATGGTTATCTTTATGGTTATTGTATATAGATTTCCTTGAGCAAAAGAATTAGTCAGAAGTCATACTGTGGATCTCTCTCCATTCCTCTTCTCTAGCCTGACTGTCTATACTTCTTTGGGAAGACTATGAGAAATACTTTCTGTAACTACAGCTGCCACAAAAAAGATGTAGACTTGCTCATGAGCACTCCACATATGGTGACTACACCCAGATGGAGAGCTTGGAAGGCAGGAGCTCATGTGTGAGGACAGCCTGTGAGAGTAGACTCCCGGAAAAGCCTCTCATGCTGGCACCCTAAGTCTTACTTTCTCAGTCCAGGCAAAGACTATGACATGTAGGAAGCCTGCAGAAAAATCTTTCTGAGGAAGTTAATTGTTCGTGCTTTGGATTTCCCAAATCTTCTGTTTGTGAAGTCAGTAGCTGGAGATACTATGCCAGGGCTGTGGTAGAGATGACCAGTGAAAAGAGATGACTCAGAATACCTACCTAAAGCCAAGTTTATACTTCCTACTTTTCTCACCTGGCATCTGGCCTGATAACTGAGAGAACATGGATCAGAGTCTCCCTTTGCCTTCATATTTTGGTGAATTTTAACTGACTTCTATTTCTCATGTGTAAAACAGATGTGAAACTCCATGGCTCATAATCTTACCTCCTTAATTTTACATATATGACAAATTACTACTATCCAAGGTACCTTTGAGATCATCCAATAACAGAAAGCTTAAAAATAATTAGAATAAATTATAATTAAAGAGAGCTTTGGCATGAGGCTTTCCTTGGTTGGTGGTATATGAGGAAATAGAGGGTGAAAGGTTTCTTGATAGAAACTTGGCAGACAGAACAATCTTCTGGGATGACCGTAGGCTACCAGAGGGTGCTTGCATCTGACGACCTCTACATGTAAGGAGAACTAATTGCCTAGTTTCCAATTGTCTTGCAAACTTTGGAGTGAGATAGGATAGATGCCCTGGAAAAGGAATATGACTGGAGAGATACTTGCCTAATTTTTCTGTTTATGAGAACTGTCTCATGGAACCTTGCTATGTAAGCTCTTCTCTGGCACACTTGTATATTATGGTTCTACTATTAAAACTTCTTCTGTTTCATTCATTTTCCCCTGCTTCTTTCCAGAAATAAACATAAAGGAGCCTAAAATCTACCATTTGCCTTTCCCTTGTAATAAGTAACAAGGGAATGGGTGAGGGGAATCTTTGGGCAGGAGGAGAGCAGGACAGAATAGTTTGTCCTACAAACCCTAGTCTAAGAACACTGAGAAATGACAAGGCTTTGGGTTAAAGCCAATGTTGGAGGTAAGGTTATACTTTCCAGATTTACCAGAAGACCCAAGAAAAGGTGAGGGAGAATCTCGAAGTTCAAAAATCGGAGAGGGAGTGACAGGTTGGACAGCAAGTCTTCCGCTCTGTGGGAGGATGAAGGGTTTTCAAGTATGACAAGACTGTCTGTGGTTCTTACTGATCTGACAAAAATGAATGATATCAAGGGGAAGCTTGTGTATCAGCCCTTCAAAGGATTTCTTCTGATGACTGGCTTATTAGATATTTTCTTAATTCTAGTACTCACCTTCTAGAAAGAATAATAATTTAATAAGATAATTTACACAATAATTCATTAAGTGGTAATGTCAAAACAACACATATATTGACATATCAATCATGTGAACATAGACTTGTAATATATGTAGGGAAATAATATTGGATGAAAAGATAGCTAATTATAATGTTACTCCTCAGAATTAGAGACAGATTTTCATCTACTTCTTAACAATTTTGATATAGTTCTACATTTCCTATTACTCTTATTCTGAAAAGAATACTGGAGTTTCCCAGAGAAACTATTTAAAACTGGGAACAAGGAATTCTATCAATGTGTTTAACCTTTGGAAACTCATGATATTTTTCTGGGCTGGAATAAAGTCTTTTCCTGGGAGACATGAGCTTGGTGCTCTTAGCGTGAACCATCTGGGGCTATGGATTTCACTCAGTTTCACATGCTCCAAATGTGAGACTCACTAAAAGAGTCCTAAAATCAATGTGGGAATTCTTTCCAACAATGGCATGTAAATTTTAGCGCCCAGCCAGATTCAGAAAGCGTTCTAGTCTTCATGTGATTTACTAGTAACCGTTGTCTCTGTGAGGCAGAGAGAAACTTATCTTTACTTGGCAGAGAAAGTCTTTCCATTGTCTCTCACTCACCATTGTTATGATGATCCTAGAGTAGAAACCATCCTGTGCTCCAAACCTAGGAACCTGACTCTAGACTGTAAATGAAGAGCTTATAGGTATACACTCTTGTTGCCTTGGTGAAAAGCCATCTTGTCTCTAACATCCCCTGGTCTTTATCAACGAAATTAGTTCAGTTATTTCTAGCTGACAATACTGTCAGAAATTCAAAGATATAAGTGAGAATCACAGTAGAAAATGTCTAACTCTGAGTAAGTCATTGTTAAATATGTATAAGTTCCTAAGTTATAACAGCTACCTCAGAGATGCCATATACCTATAATAGTTCTTGTTTTTACCTTTTAGATAATAGACACACAGAGTAAGCAGGCAGGACACTTGAGCTTCCCTTGCTCTGTGTGTGGTGAAGGGTTACACTGGATGGTACATGATTCAAGATTCAGGAACTAATCTTCTCAGATAAATAAGTCCTCTCTTTACTCTCTCCTTACCATAGAAAAGCCTGTCAATTGCACTGCCTATCAACCATGTAGTAATAAAATTAGCAAACTTATGACCAAGAATTTCATTTTGTAAGCTTAGAAGTAGGACTTTCAGTCACTATAAAGACTTTTGGACCATTCTCTGACCTTTCCCAGGTTTCTTGTATCCAGTCAAGCCATTCATCTTTCCATCATAATCCTGATGATCTGATATATTCAAGACATAAGCTAGCCACAGAAGAGACAGGGGGACTTCAACACATGAAGCCAGCAACTAGAAAGGGACAAGGAACAAAATGAACACAAATAATATAAAGCCATGTGATCACAAATATAGTTGAACACTCTGCAGGGAAGACAGGAAGAAAGAGTGTTCAGTCTTGCTATTCCATCTATATATTTGTGTGTTTCACAGTAAAGGTGGCAGCTGATACCAGGAAAATGTAACATCCCTGGAACTCTCACTGGATTCTCTTCCACATAGCAATCTAATCACACATCCCTTTAGGTGTTAGTCTCTGCCACAGTCATGATTATAGTCTTTATCTTCCTTGGAAAAAAATAATCTATTAAACTCACGAAAGACTGATGTCATCTTTCCTTCAATCTCTTGTCTCTTTTCCTAAGGCTCTTCTATCCACTCAGAAAGAGCCTGATCACTCAGAATACAGATGAAGTATGAAGCTCAGGTTCTGTTACCACACTGTGCAAGGAGCTGAGGGTTTGATAGACATAATACAAAGGCAACTCAGGAAGACTGGTTTCTGAAAGGAACTAATTAAGTCGCTCACAAGTGCCTTGTTGCCTTGACTTTACCATATCTGAAAGGATGTCACGTATATGCAAAGCTAAGCCATCCAGTTACTAAATCAATAAAAAAAAATGAAGAGGCAAGAGATTCTCTTCCAGTATGTGGTACTTTGAATATGCTTGGCCCATGGAGCGGCAGAATTAAAAGGTGTGTCCCTGTTGGAGGAAGTGTGTCACTGTACGGTGACCCTCCTCCTTTGCCTTTGGAACAAGATTTAGAACTCTTGGATCCTTCTAGACAGTGCTTCCTGCTATGATCATAATGGACTGACCCTGAGAACCTATAAGCCAGCCCCAATTAAGTGTTATCCCTTTTAAAAGTTGTCTTGGTCATAGTGTCTCTTCACAGCAATGGAAATGCTAACTAAGACACAATATGAACTAGTGTCTTATGATTTATCCAATAAAATGTTACAAGGTGTCTGTGTAGGCTTAGTTCCAAGTGGTTGGAGAAATATAAACACAGACAGGGTGTACCCTCTTCTTGGAACATTATTGAGAAGATTCAGTTGGTTTGACCTTAAATTTATGATTCTCTGACTCTAGTTGGATGCCTGAGGGCGGATGACGGAAATAAATATAGCTGGAACCTGTTGGTGGGACCTTGTCAGAAGGAGGCCCAATTATGTTCTGGAAGCTTCTGCTGAGTGTTTCCATAATTCTCCTCATGGACATAGGTAAGGCCTGGAAAGAGAGGAGAATGTTAGGGTATAGGAGGAAGAGATTCACTATGGGGTTGCTATGAAATGACTTAAGGTGAATTTTCCTTCTCTTCACAGGAGAAAGAGTGCTGACAATTCAATGTACAGTATATTTGGTTTGCATTTATTGGAAAAATCATGCTACCATAATAGGAGAAATTCTTGAACCATTTACACATTATCCCTCTCCATACTTCACTCACTACTTCGGGGTCTTCTTTCTATAGCTTTGATTTGTGAATCAGTGGAGAATTCTTGGAGGGAATCATTGCTGACATTAATAATATCAGAAGGGGTTGGGATAAGAGTGCTAAATTTATTCTCATTGGGTTTGTATAATTTTGACTTTCTAAAGTAGTTATTTTCCATAGATCTAACCTTAAAACTCTCCCTTTCCTTTAGTGATTAAACGTTGTAATCTATGTGACCACTATGATGGGTACAAATGCCGCACTGGCATGAAGTCATGCTGGAAGTTAGACATATGGACACATAACAGAACTTGTACCACAGAATTCTATTATTTTAGTGACCGTTTCACGGGTAAGCAAATCTTTGAGAGAAACACACAAAATTCCTCTAATAGTACTCACAAATTTTGGACTTAAGGTGCAAAAGGAAGCTTGAATCCCATGGGTTCTGAAGGCACAGCCCAAGGCATGGCTCTAGTGGAAGACAGGCATTTTGATTGACTATCCCTAGAGATATAAAGATGAGATGCAGCCACAGCCCTGGGCTTATACTATTCTTCAGAAATATTATGAGGTTCTAGGGGAAAGCATGTTAATGACATATGTTTTTCTTCTTTTTAGGATTATACCTTTTTCGTTATGCAAAATTTAATTGTAAACCCTGTGCACCTGGAATGTATCAAATGTTCCATGACCTCCTGAGAGAAACATATTGCTGTACTGAAAAGAACTTCTGTAATGATGGCACTGCTAACTCAGATATCTCACCAATAATTGTAGAAGATATGAGGGTAGTGAAAGAGTTGAATGATGACTAAAATAATGAGGATTTAAATACCACATGCCCCTGTGTTTCTGACATTTATAAAACCCAGGCCCCATATTTCTCTCTATGTCAGTAAATATTCCCATGCAAAGCCAGTCTTTTTTGTTTCCACATTTCAAGTAATAAGAAAGAGAAAAGCCACAGGTCACACAAACCTCAATTCTGTCTTCTGGTGATTGTTCTGGTTCTGGCTATCTGGTACCTCCTAGCTGACTTCATTTACCCTTATGTTTTGATGCTCAACTGTGCTAAAAACACCATTGCAAAAAAGGTCATTTTCATGTGGAGGATCAAGGAAAGGAGACTACATAGAAACAGAGCCAAGAAATTATATTTCCAGAAGAATGACTGGCAGAGGGCAAAAGAGGTGGGGGGGGTGGTTTGTGTTACTCACAGCTGGAAAGACAATGTGAAGTTAGAAGGTGTTCTGAAACTTAAATGCAAGGAATAGTCAGCATATTTGATGAAGTTCTAATGCCTGCCACCATTTTGGGGAAGTCATCTGATCATAGATACTCCTGTCCACTCAGCTCTTGGACATGGTATTTCTATTCACTTTACTGTGTTCTCATAGTCAAAGACAAGTATGTCAAGATGAAAGATTAGCTGAATACTAGCCACCTATTCTTATCTGAAGAGGCATGTGTGGGATGCTAGTCATCAGGATATTTGAAAATAATGTTGTATTTAAGGAATAAATGATGAGATGCAGATTTCAATTATCAACATAGCTTTGTAACAAAAAATGTAGTGGTCAGAACGAATTTTAGAAAACTCGTAATTTGGAAACATAATTAACCACATACATTAGATTTATCAGCCATTCTCTTTACATTTTCTTTGTTAGCATGTCAACTCTCCCACATTTTAGAGTCTCAGTACTTGACTATATTTTAACCATGTAATCACATACACAAATGCAATATTATCTCAGATAAAGCAGTAGTATTCCTCTTTAGTTTATTCATTATGGTTTCTTATTAGTAGCTACCAAGTTATATTTATGAAAGTAGAATAAAATACTTAGATCTCGAAGTTATTTTCAAAGCACTTGAAGTATAATTAAGACAGTGTTTGCCCAACTGTTATAATAATAACATAGAAATTAAATTTAACTTCATGTAATGTGGGAAATATGAAAGATTCCTTCATTGGGATTTAAATCATCATTTAATATGGGTGGAATGGAGATACCAACAGTAATTTCTCAAGATTAAACATGTCCTAGGGAAATTACTGTGCATCCTCATTGTATGTATAATGATCTTAGGAAAATAAAATTTATGCTAAACAGAAACTAAAGGAAAGGCTTAAACTAGAGAAGAAATACAAAGTAGATATTGATGAAGGTAACTGACAGCAGAAAGACAAAGAGAGAGACCCCTGAGTGAGGCAGAGCAGGAATGGACAGCCAAGCTTGAACTGAAGATCATTAGCCCTTTAGACAATAGCCTTAGACAGAGGAAAGATAAATCCATAAGTGTCCATAATGCAATTTATTGGGTTTACTGACTGAAGCATAGTTCTAAATGCTACCAAAACCAGTGGATTCCAATGATTTGGTTCATAAAGAAGAACATTTAAAATGGCCATGACAAAAACAATTTCATCTAAATTTGAGAGAAGAGAGAGAGACAAAGAGACAAAGGGAGAAACAGAGGGAGAGACAGAGGGAGAGGGGCAGGGGGAGGGAGAGAAGGAGAGGGAGTGAGGGAGAGAAAGCAAGGGAGAGAGAGAGGGAGAGGGAGGGAGAGAGGGAGAGAGGGAGAGAGGGAGAGAGGGAGAGAGAGAGGGAGAGAGAGAGAGAGAGAGAGAGAGAGAGAGAGAGAGAGAGAGAATTACAGGCATATTACCAGCATTGATGGCATTAGCTGGATCATAAATCATCACAGAACACCAATGTCTTCACTTATTTATAAGATGGTGGGAAAATGTTATTGAGAAAACAAACAAGTTTATTCAGTGACATTTCAAGATGACAGCAATCATGACAGACTGAATCACAAAAGAATGTAGTCCTGGGGTATTATTAACATAAGGAAGAATATGGCTTCATTTAGAAAAGTTGACATAAAATTATATTAATTCAATAAAATACGTTCATTTATTGATAAACTTTTTAAACCCCAATTTCAGATTGCAAAACCATAAAAAGTATTTCCATTTCTCTCATCTCATCACTAGAACTTGATGATAGGACCCTATTACTAAAGACATCACACATTTTGGGTATACAAACTGGACAAATCAAGTCTGGGCTCACTTGGGAGCTTCCTCTCTGTGACTAGCATTCTTAGGGCTAGAAACTACTGTATATAGGATGCTGGGAGAGGACAATCATCACCGCTTTTACTCAGCTGTGAGCCACAAGAGCTACAATAATGACTGGTGTAGCTAGGTATGTCCACTAGAGTAATAGTTTTTATTGCTATGGGGTAGCCAATCACTTTCTGAATACATTTGAGACCTATCCCACAAGATGGAACACATACCTGGTTGTGTTACCACAGTCAAGAGTCAACAATGGTTGTGTTGGTCAAGCCCTGGAGATGAAGCTACTTCTGTTTGTTATTTAGTGGACATAGTAATAAACACCTTTCTAAATAATTATCTCTTAGAAAAAGATATTTCTTACATTTATTTCTTATTTATGTGTGTTTGCCTGAGTGAGTTTATATGCACAATGTGCACCAAGAGGCCATGTGGAAATATAGTTACAGATGGTTATAAGCTACCACATGGGCATTGGGAACAAATTCCTTGTGGTTATGGTATGTTCACAAAACCTACATAAGCTCAAGCCATTCAGACTTCCAATGTAGATGAGCAAGTGACTTGTATAGCCTTATATGACCCTAGCTAAGGACATATTGACAATTGATGACGACTGAGGATGGGTGCAACACTTTCTTAGAGGGATATGGATCTGGGTAGGTTTCCCATGCTTTGGTGGGTGTTCCTATCCCTATGCACATACCAGCATCACTAACTGAACTCAGTAGTTTAAAAGTAAAGAAAGTAAATGGAGTTAAGAGGTAAATGTGTGGGTGAGTGGCAATATCATATAGATGTTGGAGAGGAAAACTGGAGAGTGGATTTGATCAAAACACACTGCTTACAGATCACAAATTCTAAAGAATAAAAGTATGTTTTTAAAGAAAAAAAGAAAAGGTTAAAATTACTTATATTTTTAAGTTTATAGATGTTCCCCAAGTGTTTCTTGTATGGAACTAGCAGTTTAGATGTTCACCAAATGTTTGTGTGTTCCAGTTTCTTACACCTTGTGTGATATAGAATGTTATCAAACTTTTCAGTGCTTTTGAGCATGATATGCAGAAAATCAGTGCTCACTTCTCGCTGTAGTGTTTGTCTTGTGTAAGATTTGGAGATCATTGTGCAGTGTTTTGAATTATCTCTCTTTGAATTGTCTCTTCATTCTTTTCTTTCATGTGCATGTATGTTTGAGGGTTATTATTTTATGAACTATAGGAACACCCCTTATATTTTAAGTAATTAATTCCATTTGATTATCTTTAAAAAAAACCAACTTCTTTGTATTCTTTATTATTGGAATTGGGCATGAGGTAAATGAGTGTTAAAGTTGAAGATTGTTACGTTTTGGCCTATGTGAAGTGATGAGACTGCACAGCACAAAGATCAAAGAATCAATAAAACTAAGAGTTAGTTCTTGGAGAAAATCAACAGGATAAATAAATTCTTAGCCAAACTAACTAAAGGGTACAGAGATAGTATCCAAATTAACAAAATCAGAAATGAAAGGGGAGAAAAAACAACAGAAATTGAGGAAATACAAAAAATCATCTGATCTTACTTCAAAAGCCTATATTCAACAAAACTGAAAAATCTAGATGAAATGGATGACTTTCTAGACAGATAACATGTACCAAAGTTAAATCAGGATCAGGTAAACTATCTAAAAAGTCCTATAACCCCTAAAATAAACAGGACCAGATGGTTTTAGTGCATAATTTGATTACATCTTCAAAGAAGGCCTAATACCAATACTTTTCAAACTATTTCACAAAATAAAAACAGAAGAAACACTACATAATTCATTTTATTAAGCCACAGTTACTCTGATACCTAAATCACTCAAAGACTCAACACAAAGTAAAACTTCAGATCAATTTCCCTTATAAATATCTATGTAAAATTACTCAATAAAATTCTTGACAACTGTATCCAAGAACACATCAAACCCATAATTCACCATGATCAAGTAGGGTTCATCCCAGGGATGCAGGGATGGTTTAATATACAGAAATCCATCAATGTAATATAACCACTAAAAATCCCAACATAATCTATTCACTATATAAATGAAATCAAAGAAAAACACATGAGCATCTCATTAGATGCTAAAAAAAGCTGTTGACAAAATACAACACCTCTTCATGTTAAAAGTCTTGAAGAGCTCAGAAATTCAAGGCACGTATCTAAAAATAGTAAAAGCAATATACAGCAAATCAACAGCCAAATCAAATTAAATGGAGAAAAACTTGAAGCAATTCCACTAAAATTAGGGACAAGGCAAGGCTGCCCACTCTCTATTTATTCAATATAGTACTCAAATTTCTAGCTGGAGGAAGTAGACAAAACAGGAGATCAAAGGGATACAATTTGGAAAGGAAGAAGTCAAAGTATCACTATTTCTAGATGATACGATACTATACATAACAGACCCCAAAAATTTTTACCTGAGAACTCCTACAGATGACAAACAACTTCAGCAAAGTGGCTGGATATAAACTTAACAGGGATGACATAAGCTGAATTGCCCAACAAAGGGGAGGGAGAACCTGTATAGACCATATCCAGAGGTTAGGCAAGGCCCCCAGTTAGGGGATGGGGCCATCCACTCATCTCCAAACCCTTAACCCAGAAGGGATCCTCTCTAAAGGAAATACAGGGACAAAGCATGGAGCAGATACTGAAGAAAAGGCCATCCAGAGCCTGCCCCACCTTGTGAGCCATTCCATATACAGACACCAAATGCAGACACTGTTGCAGATGCCAAGAAGTTCTTACTTA